TATCTTTCTTGGTTCCTGCCTACACAAGTATAAAAAAACGATCAAGCAAATATAGTACACTCATTTTTTTTTTTTAACTATAGGTATGCACCTATGCAAAGTGGTGACGAAAGTTAGTTTTTTTAGTCAAGTTCCAAAGAAAATGCAATGCATCAATTGATTGAAGGTGAATAATTGAAAAGGACATTTTGTGCTTATTTGATTATATTTTCATCTACTGTTTTCTTGTGTGTTCGTTGGATGAATTGTTGCACGATTTTGCATTTTTAGAGACGTGATATAATCCTCTGATCAAAAGTGGGGATTTGGCAATGGAGATGAGAATCGACGATGAAAATGGAAGTAAAAAAGAAGTGAGGGTTACGTAGAGTAAATTGCAAAGTAAATATAAAATCTTAGCCTTCAAAAATTTCTAATCGAAAATCTTAACTGAAGTAACCCAATTCTCCTGAAAACAAAATTATTTCATTTACATATCCAGTTGTGTAACGAACCTACACATTTTAGTCATTGAAGTTATCATATCAAAATAAATTTAAATTAAAGTTTCTAAAGAAGTATTGTTTGCGCCGGTTATTGAATAATTGTTTGGAAATGTTATTTACTTGGAAAATGATATGGAAAATTATAAAAATCAAAGTTATGTGGATGTTTAAAGAAGTAATTAATTAAACTTATACATAAAATATACAACTACAAACTGAAGAGTTTTACTGAAGTTTTTTGGGTTTTTAATAGACCAAAAAAAAAGGTTTCGGGAATCTTGCAAAAAAGATAGCTGATTGAAATCACTGCTTTTTTTTTCCCAAAAATTTCTATCGGCGGTGATTGAATAAGCGTATGTTTTGATTAGCACCCATGCCTCATGTCTAAAGGTGTACTAAAGGAGTGTTTGGATAAATAGTTTTTAGTTTATTGGTTTATTGTTTATTTGTTTATTGCGGTGGAAATAAGTATTTTTTTTTTAAATATGTTTGGATTAGCTTATTGCGATGGGAATAAGTAATAATCATTTTAAGTCTTTGGCAAACAAAACAGCTTATATGAGTAAAATGACCAATAAACAATAAACAATAAACAATAAGCAAAAAACATTCTCCCCATTGCTTATTAAAATCAACTTATTTTGCTTATTCCTACCGCAATAAGCTGATTTTTAAATACTCCTATCCAAACACTTAAATTTGCTTATTGCGATGGGGTTAAACAATAAGCAATAAGCAACTTATTTTTTTTCCTATCCAAACACCCCCTAAATGATTAATGTTAAATATGTCCTTAACTTCATGTCACTAAATCTTTTCTAATGATATTATGTTGTCATGATGTTGTGTGGTGCTACTTTAGGGGAACTCTCTACGCATTGACTTATAGTTTTGAGTTATGTTTCAGGTACTTTGGATGACCGCGGGAAGGCGGAGGCCTAACCGTACACATCCTTATGTTTTGACTTATGACATTGGGAGACTTTGATGTTGAAAATATTTTGAAATTTATGTTTGTAAACAATTTGTGAATTTGGGTTGGTTTTATTTATTTATTTATTTTAATTTTTTGTGATTTTTATGAGCGTTACAGTCATAGATCGGGTTCTTGCATGAAATATGGATTCTTGTTTGAGAGGTTTTTAGCCCAAGAACGTTAAAAACAGAGTTGGAACGAAAAAGTTACGACCATTTGAAGTTATGACGATTTTCTAGTTAATCGCGTACGCTAGGCGTACTAGGGCATCCCTAGTATGCTGGGCGTAATAGGAGTACGCTGGGCGTACCCAATCAGTGCCCAAACCCTATTTTTTGTGACTTGAGCCCTATTTAAGCTCCTTAACTCTCCCAAACCCACTCTATTCTCAGCCTTCACCTCGTTAACACCCTCTCTTGAAACCCTAACCTAGTTTCAGCATTTTGAGCAAAAAGAAGGTGTTTTTAAGTGCTTTGGATGTTCTTGATGCACCTTGGAGAATAAGGAAGTCACTGAAGAAGCGTTGGTTGCATTGGAACTATTTGAGGTATGATTAGTGTTGTATTTATCATATTAACCTATTTTGTTATGATATTAATGGTATTTATGAATTTTTATATGATATTCGTCTTATTTAATTTTTTTAAAATCTAACAAATTAGCAATTAATAGTCCCCGATTAATCCTCCGATTAATCTCCGCCTAGCCGATTAATCCCTTAACCCCAGTCCACCGACTAGCTAACGATTTTTTACAACCTTGATATTTAGTATGCTGCTATGCTGTAGTGATCTGTTAGATTTGTATCCTGGTATCGAGTATGCTATTATGTTGTAGTGATCTGTTAGATTTGTATCGTGGTATCGAGTATATTGTTATGATGTGGTGATCCTTTAGATATGTATCCTGATCGGTTGAATATGTTGCTTTGTTGTAGTGATATGTAGAACTGTATGTTATATGTGGTTGCTGGTTATCATCTAGTGGAGTGCCCTAGGGATTGCATGTGGTCATGTAGGATAGCCTAAGAACTCTTGATCTAGGCTTTGTTACATGTTCATTGTTTGGTTGTGGATCTATAGTAAGATCATCTGTTTAGGTGGCTATCTCACCTCTGGTTACTTATGGTTATTGATGTGACAACGGCTCCGACCACCTGCTATGAGAAAGTGCTTCTACGTCGGAGACAGATCTGCGAGGTCACAACAAACAAGGCCATTTGAGCCGCCCTAGGGACTGTGCCCCGAGAGCGGGCTCCGATGATCAAGTTAGATCATTTAGTAGATCTGATATGGTTCACTTTAGCTAGAGAGAACCATCTTGGTGCTGGGGGTGTATGGTGGTTGACGGCTGAGCCACCCGGCTGATATCTAAGGCAACGGCTGAGCCACCGAGGAAGGATCCCCCTCAATGGAGGAGATATTGTTCACTATATAGAGGACAATTAGGCCATGCCTTGGGCCAGCCCGATTCAAGCTCAGCTAGTAAGGAGTTGGGAAAGTACGTCCAGAGGCGTCAGGCAAGGCTGGTAAGGGAGTCCCTAGTCGAGCCAGCAGCAGAGTCCCTAGCAAGGGAGTCCCCATCAAGGCTGGCGAGGGAGTGCCAGGCGAGGCTGGCGTGCCAGAGCTGTCTAGGCCATGCTAATGGACCATATATCATCATTTACAAATTTCATATAGGTTAGCTGGTAGCGAGACTGTATGTTGTGAGAGGACTAGCAGGCGGTGATGAGTTTTATGATTGATGTTTGCTTGTATCATGTGCATACTTGATCCTTGATTGTTTATATGTCGACATATGGTAGTGGTGGGTTGATGAGGTCCTGCTTTGTGTTGTAGGCTAAGATACCCAGTGCGGGCCGGCTGTAAGCCGAAGGCATGGAGGCTCGGGAGGAACAGTTGGATTGAGGCGGTAGGCTAACAAACCCTGGTATACCGGCACGGATAGACTGAAGGCCTGTGATGCGGTCCATACAAGCTAAAGGCCTGAAGAGCAGCCGCTATGCATGCTTGTATGTTTATCGTATGGGGTAATTTGGAGGAAAGTCACTAAGCTTTGTGCTTACCCAGCTGTTTATTGTTTCAAGTATTATCGATCATCATGGGAAGGCGAATGCGTGACTGTACACATTCATTAACAACAATGAAGATTTTGCACCTTAATATCACTCTGATTTTTATAAATATATTTAGAATAAACAATTTTCTCCATAACAAATTTATAACTGGGAAGATTCACTTAAATAGATTGAAATTTTTTTGTTGTAAAATGAGACTTACAATAATGTTGTTTAAATAGGGTCCTAACCCTAAATTTTTAGGGTTTATACCCTGCACGCTTACGCCCCGCATACTACAAGTTTTTCGGAAATGGCAAAACTTCCTCCTAGGGACCAAATCTGCAATGTATGTACATATCAAGGGTCAAAAATGAAAATACCTTGAATCGGGTGTTACATGTGATGTTGAGGCTCTAAGCATATCAAACATAATCGCCGACGTCAACCTATTCTGGTGAAATAAATGGCGAAATCTTCGATAGAAAAGCATCCGACAATGGGAATCAGGGAGTCTGACGATTTGTAAGTGTCCAAAAATGTCGATCGGAATAGATTGAAAGGATTTTGATGAACAATAAGAGGGATGACGATGGTTTTCCACGAAACATATGAAATGAGAAGCAATTTGCTTGTATTGTTATGGTCTTTATATTCTACCATTGTATCGATCTTTGTCCATACTTCTTGCATCATCCCTCTGTGATCCTCACTATGTTTTCTTCTAATTTTGATCGATACAAACACACGTACATTGTCGTGTGTGTTCTTGTTGTTTCCCAATCTAGAAAACCCACAATGAGGTTCTTTCAGGGGGTTCTTCTTAATTTTTAGTTTCAATTTAAAAAAATAAAAAAGATATAAAAACATCATTAATTTAGAAAAATGAAAAGAAAAAGCAAAGGCATGTAGATTAAATTTGATTTGCTTGTTTTGAAAAAATTGAGAAAAGACCAAAGGTATCGTAAAACTCAAACTAAGTTAGAAGATTCTCGTATTTAAGAAGAAAAAAAAAATTGTTACATTTTAGGTCATATTCCCTAAAAAAAAAAAAAAATTAATCACTAAATAGCAAAAAATTAATGTGCTGCCCTAGAAATGGTAGGGAAATTTTTAATAAGAAAAATAAAGTAAAATTAAATCAAGCTAGGTTTACAAATAGGCATATAACCCTCTATTCCGAAAAAACGGAGGTACTCGGAGGTGTTGGGTGATCGTTTTGCAGTGATCTCTTGCAGTTTTTGAACACACTGAGGTGCTAGCTAGCGATCGTTTTGCAGTAATCTCGTGAAATTTTGGTAAGAATCATTTTACTTGCTGCTGCGTTTAAATTGTTGTTCCGTTTAATTAAGGGATGGTTGTGTAATGGGGATGAATCCCGATGTATGGACTATGGACGTGTTTGGGTGGAATATCCGATCGACCGTTTTTTGGGCCGCGTGTGGCGGTATCCCCGTGAGGATTAATGTTACTGATAAGTAGGAAACGCTGTCCCCTCAGTGCGTTAATTATATACTCCTATTTAGCTGCATATTAATTAGTTTGAATGAAATATTTTTTATTTTTTATTTTTTTTAAATGGAATTCAACATATGTTGTATGCTTTGTTCCTTCCTGACCCGATTTAGGAGTTAATTAATGGCTAGTGTATATTATAACCCTTGACATTATTAGGGAGAATATGAATTCATGTTCAGTGTTGAAACGTTACCTACCACCAGATAATTATCCCGTGATGTGGTTATATGGACTAAAGGAGTGCATGACCATACAACCTAAAAATAGTGAAAACAAACCGCGCGAGCTCAACATTACATATCTGCTATTCATTTTGTATTTGTTATGATTATAGCTGTGTAAGGAGGTTTCTTGACTGTTTGTTTGACTCCCATAAAAGAAATCAGCTTATTAACGTGTTTCTGTATCTGAACTTGATTGTATATATAAGTCATCCCATTCCCAGTTAAACATGATGTTGCGCAAGCGACATTTATTCTGGTTATTATTAATTTATTAATTATTTCCAGTTTCTACTTTCTAGGATATATACAATGGACGCCAGCAATTTCTGGGAAATAATGGACACCAACGAAATTACGAAAGACGATATGGTGCTGTGAGTCACTTAAATATTATTTTTGTAACCATATATATATATATATATATCTATATATATATATATATTATATATATATATATATATATATATATATATATATATGATCAGTTACTTACTTGTTATGTCATATGTGTGAGGTTTATGATTTTGCTTTGTTTTATTCTTCAGGTTGACAAGGTACCTCGTGGATTCCTATAGGACAAATGGGTTTAGATTACCTGCTGATAACTTTTTCAAAGAAGCAAAAATCGAACAAGTAGGAGGTATATGTAACATGTATTGCATTTAATTCGTTTAATTTCCTGTTAATAATCTTGTTTCTATTTGACATGGTGAAGTGATTTGGGATGTTTGATTAATCGTGATTCTTTTGTAATAGAGCTCAAAGGATCATACATGGACTATCATGAGCCGTGCATGAAACAAGGTGCTGGTGTGGGTTTATGGATCTTTTTCTGTCAAGAAATCCTAAAGCACAAGGGAGTCAAAGAAAGGCCAAGGCTGATGAGACACAATGAAGACACTTCTCAGGTGATATAACTTATACAAACATACACACATTGGTTTTTCTTATAGTGGAGTTGGTGCTTCAATGTTCTTATGTTTTCTAATAATAAATGTCTAGACAACCACAAATCAACAATCCGTGAATGTTAATCAAGACCATGTATTTACCTTTCCTTGTCATGAAAGGCCATGGCTGATAACACATCAAGAGGACACTTCTCAGGTGATATATACACACATTGTTTTTTTCTTAGTGGAGTTGGAGCTTCAAGGTTCTTATGTTTTCTACATAATAAATGTCAACAGGTGTTGAATGTTGATCCAGATCATGGCACTATCTCCGGTGCAAAACAAGATGTATTAAGGAAGTGAGTAATCTAAATCTTGATGATAATTGCATCATAATTGATTTTAACGAATGTTAATCAAGTTAGTGGTCATTTATTACTGTAAGAATATCCCTATCTATAGATTATGTAATTAGTTGTCATGTGGTTTTGTTTTTAATAGGCTGTTCAGATACGTTTATAATTACTTCAACAAAAATATGCTTTTGGCTGACTGTTTTGTCCAAAAAGAAGAAACTGCTGAAGAAGAAGCATCTGGTATATATATATATATATATATATATATATATATATATATATATCTGGACACATTGCATTTAATTTCTTCGATTGCTTTCTTTTTTAAGTGCAGTATTTTTCGTTTGCAGTTGGATCCAGAAAACGCAAACGCAGTTTTGAAGACGTCAAGGTTTGAGGAAAAAAGGGAGTTGAGACTGTTGAGTCGTGGAAGGGTGGCAGCTGAATATTTAAAATGATAAATTAAAAGTCTGATATCATCTTCTTGTTCTATCCTATTAAGACTAGATTTTTGTTTAAAGTCTTCATGGTACTTTGTTAAAACTATTTTGAGACCTCGTCACACTCCTTGTTGTCTTTTGCTTTTTAAAATGTTAAACCATGGACATGAATATGATTGCCATCACTCACTCTTAATTTCCTGGGATATCTAATGCTGCCCAACTACACCGCCTTGGGATGGATAAATGCAAGAAATAGCATACTACTTTAATTCATTTGTTTATTAGTTATTACAATTTCTTTGTTGTAGTTTCAAAATTTGTAGCATTGTCATCAGAGGTGCAACGTTGCACCAGAAACTAGTGTAAGTAGGATGATGCTATAAGCTAACAAACACAATTATGTTTCCATCTATTGCAATTAGCTCGATATAGGTTAGATGTTAATAACGTGTTCCATCATTAAGACGTCATATAAACCCACTTTTCAAAGAAACAAGTGTAGACTTTTTAAAGTAAACATTTTAATAATGAAATTAGGATGTCGTAACACATATTCATTATATTATAACTGTTATAATCTAATGATCATCCTATAATTTCTCCTTCAATATGCACGTCTTCTCAACTGTTTTATGGTATTCAAAGTATATCGAAATACCATTCTTAGTTCCATCATCATTTCGATACTTTGAATATCATAAGATATGAATATTTCTCTCACCATATTTCCGGTCATTGTATAAGGTTTTAGTAGAATATGATTTCAATCAACATTTCAAGATATTATCACATAGAGTACACATTCTAAAGTTCGTTCTTCAAGCTGAAGTAGCTGTATAAAAAAATACTTCTTCAAATGTTGCTTTGGGACATTCTAATATCTAGAGTGTACAAAATAATATTCATTTAGGCGTGTTTAGCAAAAGTAGCTGATAGCGAATAGCAGTTACAACTGGTAACGTTTTGTTATACGTTACGTGAAGTAGCATTTAGATTTGAAACATTTTATTTAAAATAAACGCTAGAAGCTTGTAGTGCCAGAAAATTGAGAGTTTTGTCAAACGCTAGAAGCTCTAAAACGCTCCCAAACGTTCCGTACCGAACACGCCCTTACTCATTGAGGGTTTGTAACAATGTTGATATTAATTTCCATAAATTCTTTATATATATTATATATATTATATATATATATATATATATATATATATATATATATATATATATATATATATATATATATAAGATTATAAAACTAAAACGTACAGGAATATTTCGATCATGACTGGAGACTCATAAAAAAACAATGGTAAATGAGTGCGATTAAAAAGTGACGGCCTATGGGGTATCTTTAGTGCATTGCTGGATTAATGAAGTCAGATGTATCACCATGCCCATGGTTGTTTAAAGGATGATGGTCTGAACTTGGCAATTGAAAGAATGATGATGAATCCTTTGGAATTAGTGAATCTTACTGGAAGATAACACAAAACTTTGTTGTGTTTTTCAATAGCTCTTTGTTATTATTTGGATTTTGGTGGTTGAAGATTTGATACCTGTAACAACTCTAAAGTTTTATCTCTGTCAAGTTTTCAACATATCTGTTTTAACCTTTAAACGATTTTCAACAAATCCATTTATAATCATATTTAGAAAATAAAAGCAAACACCTTTTTACCACTTATCGAAAGTACACTGCTAATTCCACACTTATCATGAGAGTGCATTGTTATTTTTATACATATTCCATTGAAGTGCAACAAAAGACTAAACACACAACCACTTATATACAAAACAAATGAATGAAAACAAATATCTTTTACACCTTACAAAAAGTAAATTGTTTTTTCCACAGATTCCATGAGTACATTGCTAATTTCACACGTACTTCATGAAACTTTATGTGTGTATGTACTCAGATCACTGAAAAAAAATAGACAAAACTCAAGTCAAAACTCTTTTCCCTTCAAACCTTCAGCTTTTTCATTCTTTTACCGAACTGGCAAAAAGCTTAAATATCTTTTACGTATATTTTCTCTTCTAAACCAACCTGTCACAAGCAAATACAAAAACAAAACAACCAAAGTACTTAGCTACTTCACCTATTACAAATTTTCATAAAATACTATAAGAATAAAATAACACTTAGAAAATGTCTATATTATAAACATCAAAACCCGCATTGAAACCAAAAAAAGTCAATAAAACAGATATAGAAGGCAATCCAAGTTTTTTGAAAATCGGACTACTTCAGGAACAAGGAATGGAATTAGCATAAAAATTTGCTAAAAACATTATAAGTTGTCGGCGAAGACTCTACATCTAGTTTACTATTCAAAATCATGTTAGATATTTGAGAAAGATGAAACTTTTAAACCAATACCCTTTCAAAAGAAAACATCTTATGCTTATAGTAGAACAATAATATCAACAATTTCAAAAAGTCATGGAAATAGCAAATTCAAGATCGAAATATTCAATAACACAAAATAGATTCAGAAGACTATTGGAAACTCAAAAGAATAATAAATATTTATAAACAGATTCAATGACTATCTATGAAAAATAGTAGATTTCAGGAGTCATATGAGACATTCAATAGGATACGTGAAGGGTAGCGTAAATTAGGTAATAGAGGTGATCGGGTCGGACAGCTGGGTGGAGGTTTGTGCCATCTACATAAAAAATCAAAGATATCAGGATTATAGTAACATAATCAATTTTTAAACTTTGGAAGAACCAAAACTGAAATCAATAATCAATAGGATTTTCTTAAAAGATGAAAGTCAAAGCATACCAAGCATTGATCTTTAAAAGAAAATAGTTTCTCTTGACGACCTTATTTCTATATTATTGAACTGCAATACAAAATGAAACATAGTTAAGATCCATCATCATAGCTTATTTGTTCAACTACAAAATCAAAAACAAATAACCCAACAGTGGTTTGTATGTTTCCTTAATCGAACACCAGAAAGAGGGGGAAGAAGGATAAAACAAAATTAGGGAGAACGAAGACATGGGGTGAATATGGGTTGCATAGGATGTGGGGGAAAATAGAATTTATGACATAATAATAGTGAATGAAGATGGTGACGACAATTGTAAAGGATTTTGTTGGTTGTGATGAGTACTGGTAGTGGTGGCGGGTTAGTTTAGGGCATTATACAGAGCTGCTTAAATAAAGATGCTTCATGGAGGAGAAGTTACCAGAGTTAGGGCACTAACTGATGTATGATATGGTTGAGTCTGACAAGTTTATGGAGGTCACAATGGTGGTGGCAGGCAACAACGACACTGGTTATGGTGGGCTTCTAGAGTTTGAAGGAGAAGGAGCATATCATCTTTTTCCTAGTTGTGAACTGGAAGCATTTAATTTCCTTGAAGGAAACGAAGGGGTGTGCATTGCTGAGAGGGGAATTGATGCCGATCTACATATGTGTATACATTGTGTTTTTAAAATCAAAAGTTGTTTTTGGAAAAGAAAATAAAAGATATTTGGTAAATTGGTTTTAAAAGTCATTTTGAAGTTTTTACAGGAAAAGCTAACTTTTTGGAAAAGTTAAGAAATTCTGATTTTTTTAACTTTATCAAAAAAAACTTTTGGGGTTTAAAAGCTAAACCAAATACCCCTAAGCATAAAGAGTCATATATTGTCTTTAGAGAGTTGTTCATTTTTAATACTTGAAATTGATTGGAGGAATGTTGTTCATATGGATTGTCATTTTTCAATCTAAACCATTTGAATTAAATCAAATGGTTCATAATTAAGCTCCTTGTTTTTAAGATGGAAATCTTAAAATTATGTGGACCGATATTATATATGTATTATAAAGTAGTAAGATAAGATATATATATATTAATAAAATAGTAGTTCTTTTATCATGTGTCAACATATTAGATATTTTAATTAATGTGTTGTCACTTGTCAATTTATTAGTTTTTCATTTTAAATTTATTAAACCTCCTCATTAATGTGATTCTATTTTAAATTTGAAATTTGAAATTATTGTTGTCATTAATTCACAAATAAAAAATATCTAATATATATTAAAAATTAATTTTATATATTTATTTGAATTAATGATTATAATTTCACATAAGTAATAAAAAATATCTCTTAAATTAATAATTTATTTAAAATAACTTATTAATAATTTTGAGTTTTTACTATAAAAGTTTGATTAATTTTATAACCGTGGTTCCCACAGGTTATAAACTAATATATATATATATATATATATATATATATATATATATATATATATATATATATAGAGAGAGAGAGAGAGAGAGAGAGAGAAACATCCTAGGCTCTGATACCACTGATAGGTTTTGAGCACAACATGTGTTCATGCAATCCTAATTACTTTGGATCTAAGTTTTTCGCTAATTGAACATGCAAAAGAAATTCCAAACAATAACCCTAGATCTAGTATATATAATTTGAAACTCATATATAAAAAAGGTTAAGAAGATTACATTACTTGTTATGTAGCAATAACAAGAATTCCTTGATTGATCTTAACTCTTGAAAGCTTAGTGTCTCAAATGTTGCACTTCTAATGGTTCACAAACACTTGTAGTAAGAGGATGAGAGGAAATAGGAGGGAATATATAGAAAATCGGCTAGGGTTTTGTAACGCCTGTGTTTCTGGGCTTGCCATTTTTAGCAATGTAATGGTCTAGGTTAACCTTTGTAACCCGTTTTGAAATAATAATATAAGTGTATTATTTGAGTATTATGTGTTTTGTGCTTAATTGCTTAATTATGTGGTTTGATTAATTAAGAATAAAAATAAGCGTCAAAATTTAAGTGTAAAATAAACTTGATATCTTTAGATAATGTTGTAGTAGTTGAAACAAGGTTTCCGAAGATATAAAGAATGCCGAAATCCGAGTTATAACGAGGAAGTTATGACCTGTCGAAGTTTCGCGACAGAACCGGCAACGCTGAATAACGTAAAAAGTGAAATTTACGTTAAAGCGATATTTAGCCTTAGTGATCTAAACGAGAATCGAAGATCTCGTTGTTAGTATCAAAGCGATAAAAAGTTAGGCGAGAACGGACGTCAAACGAAGAAGTTATGAATTTATAACGAAATTTTCTGTCCCGGCCTATTAAAAATAAATAATAAAAATAAAGTCAAAATTAGCCGACGGAGTCTAAACGAAAGTTGTAGAGCGTAGTCTCACCTTTCCGTGGATATAAAGAACGTCGAAAACGGAGTTCGTATGAAGAAGATATGAATTTCCGAAGTT